GTGCATACTATGTTTTGACTCGCAAATATTTCTCATATATATATATTTAAGAATATGAGAGAGAGAGAGAGAGATAGACAAATTAGGTTAAAAAAAAGATATATAATCATAGAAAGATAGACATGTAAAAAATTATTAAGAAAGAGTAATAGAGAAGGGAGGATAAGGGATAAAAAATTTTTAAAAAATAATTTACTAATATAGAGAGGGATTTACAATATATATATATATATATATATAAACAAAGATAATATAAGAGAGGAAATGTGAAATGAACATGAAAAGGTAATGAAATTGTAGAATAATGTGAGAAAGATATTAATTTAAGAAAGAGAAATGAGAAGAAATACATACACTATGTTTAGCTTAAAATAAAATGCATAATGATAACATAAGTGTATGATGACAAAACATACTAGAGAATTGAAGGTGTTTCATAGAAAGACATGATAGATGTATGGTTTTAGTGTACGAAATTGAAAAAAGTATAATATTTGAATAAATGGGGAAATGAGGTAATTAAGGAGGAGATGATAAGGGAGAGAAAGAATAATATCAAACAATTTATTAATAGATAGAGAGAAAAATTAGATCTCCAATTTTTTCAAAATCCTTCCACTTAACTCAAAATTCAAACGTGAGATTTTTAATTTGAAATCTCAAATTTTAAACTAGTTAAACTACCTCTTTAAGGCAATTTTTATAATTTATTAGGGTGATGGTCCCTATAGTTTTTTTTAAAAAAAAAAACGTTTTAAACTTTATTTTTTTACTTTTATGTCTTTTAATTTTTAATATTTAAATTATTAAATCCTAAATCTCAAAATATTAAATCTTAAACCCTAAATATTGAATCTTAAAAGAATCTAAAACTTAACACCTTAAATACTAAACCTTAAAAACCTTTAAACCTTAACACGTCAAGCACTAAATTCTAAAAAGTTTAAACCTTAATTTTCCTAAAAATTAAATTATAAAAAAAATTTAAACCTAAACATTCGAAACACTTTTAAACTTAAATCTTAACATGCAAGGATAAAACTCTAAACTTTTAAAAAACTTAGATGCTAAAATTATAATAATAAGAGATTAAAGGACTAAAATAATTTTAATCTACTTAATGTAGGTAACAACTAATAATTTAGTCATAAAACAAATGGAGAAAATGGATGGACGGATGTTTGTCAAGTATTTTGGTCTTCGATTGGCTTGAGGGGGTTCGACGCCTTAAGCATTATTAATTTATTAATAT